TCTGAGACATCCAAGTATTGTAACTTAATACTTTTCTTTAAATCAACTCATTTTTCTTTAATTGGTCCCATTCTCAAAATAATAGCTGTGAACTGATGAGTTTTATGTGTTATCTTTTTTTAACCCTTAAAGTATTCATCCCCATAACCACCCCTATCGTTTCCCAAACCACATTCTAAAACTGCTTTTGGCTGCTCTACTTTTGACCCTGGCTAGCAATTGGTCAGTTTACTTCATTTTAATGCTATTGACGATTACCACTTACAAAGGTTTGCAGGACATACCAATGAAACCAACCAAATGACAAAATTCATGCCAATAGTTTTTTCATGGGAAGTCTTAAGTTGCCTAACGTTAAACAGACAACCCAGCAATTTGTCTTTTATTTAATCCTTCCACCTTTATTTTCACTATTACAAATGAAAATAAGATTAGGAATAAAGACTCATTTTGTGGCTTAGTCTGAAGAACAAAATTATGGGGAGGAGAAATACAGTAGTGAGTTTTGTTCTGAAGCATTGGCATTTATTTCAGTCAAAAGAAATGGTAAGCATGCAGATCATCCAAGTGAAAATATGCTATCTTCAAAACAGTGGAACACTCCTCTTTAAAAGCAAATCACAGCTATTTACTTCAGCTATTAACAAGTATCTTTTAAGTCTGCACTTAAAAGATAAACCAGGAGGCTCTCCATCATTTCACTAACAAAGATCACCAACTAAAACCAGGAAAGAGAACTTCATTCACTGATAACAACTATAATTTCTTTACATAGTGATTTTTGGAGCCAGTCTTAAATTCACTATATTAAGAGCCACACAATACACTTTTTAAGTTACTCATACAATCCACTCTCAGAATTACTGACCTATTCATTCAGGAAAAAAATGTATCCTAAACCCAAAATATACAAGACATTATGGAGAATATGAAAAGATCAAAGAGTGTTTACAATCTAGCATAGAGAATAAGATTTATATATTTCCCAAATGGTAGCTCTCAGGACTGCAGAGGACTGCTGGGAAGTTTCTCCCCAATATTTTTTTATGAAAAACTTCAAACAAAGTTGGCAAAGTTGAAATTTTACAGTGAGTACATAAATACCCACTGCTGAGATTCTACCATTTTCACTACACCTGCTTTATCACATATCAATCCATCTTATTGTGATAAACTGCTGGGATTTTAAAAATAAGACTATTTGTGATGGAGAATTTTGGTAAGCCATGTTAAGGTTGCCTCTCAAAACTTTTGACTGGGGCACCTGGGTAGCTCAGTCTGTTAAGCGTCCGACTTCAGCTCAGGTCATGATCTCACGGTTCATGGGTTTGAGCCCCGTGTTAGGCTCTGTGCTGACAGCTAGCTCAGAGCCTGCTGCCTGTTTCAGATTCTGTGTCTCCCTCTCTCTGACCCTCACCTGTTCATGCTGTCTCTCTTCTCTCAGAAATTAAAAAAAAATCATTAAAAAAAACTTTTTGATGACTGATGGGGGTACATGAATAGAGAAAGTTTGGAAACCACAAATCCATACTCCATATTTAACTCTCCTACCAACCTCTAATCCAAATCCATTCAGATCTCACGGCTGGCCATTTTAGGTCTCCACATCCTTGTCCACTACCTGAACTACCCTTCCCAGCCCTCTCCAAGGCTTAGCACCAATCTGTGAAGCCTGCCCCAACTTTCAAACCCTCACTCAGAATTAATTATGACCCCTGTAGGGGGCATATTTATCATCATTTGCAATTAGCTAACAGTATCTGTAACTTGGTTTTGTCGTTCACTAAACTGACCTCCTTAAGTATAGGGATTTTTTTTTTACCTCTGATTCTTCAGCAACAGGCACAATACCTAGCCTACAGCAAGCACTCAATAAATGAATATAAATGAATGACCCACCCCTGTATTTACCAAGGAGTCAGGGAAGATTTTAGTTGAGTATGGGAATGATCTAATCACACTGGCACTCTAGAAAGATTCATCTTAGACCACCGTTGTTAAGAGCATGGACTCTGGAGCCAGACTGCCCGGGCATGGATCCCAGAATCTGAGCTCTACCATTTATTGCTGGGTGACTTTGGGCAGATTTCTAAACCTCGTGTGCCTCAGTTTCCTCATTTGGAAAACAGGGATGATATTTCTTCACAGGTTATAGTGAGGATCAAATAAAAGAATTTTGTTGTTCAAGCACATAGATGAGCACCTGGCACATACTAAAGCATTCCATCAGTTAGCCACTGTTGCCAGCATCCAGGTTAATGACAATAAGGTAAAAAGTCCTTAAAGTTTAGGTGGCAGCAATGAAAACAAAGTGGAAAGAATCATCATGAATGAAGAATTTACTGAAAAATGGTCAGGAAGACAATCAAATGAATGGGTTTTTTTTACTTTATATGTTTAAGATAGCTCATGGCGGGATTTTTTTAATTATTAAAAACACCTATAATATACCCAGCCCAGGCACAGACGTGATGATGTGCACAAGGCTTTCTAGCATGACTGGACTGTAGCCACAAACTATGATCACTGCAAGCTTCTTGATGCAGGTCTTTCAGTTGCTCAGATGAGATTTTTTTTCCCTCCTCATTACTCCACCCAGGACCATTTTTTATGATTCTCAGAATTCCTTGTCCTGTCTTTTAACTGTGAACACACACCCAAGAGCCTCGGTTGGGACTGGGTTTGAGATTTTGTCCTACCCAACCCTGCACTTTCTTCTTCCTGCCCACCTCCTTTACTTCTCAAGCCTTGCTATTCCCTACACGTAAGAGCTTGAAACCTTAAGAGTATGAGAAAGCAACAGAGCAGCAGGAGTGGTGCCAAGAACTGGGGGGAGGCTGCCAAGCTGTTCCCCAGGCCCCATAAGCAGTGACCAACTACATGCATAAATTGGACTTAACTGCCCATGGGGCCTAAAATGCTTGATATTCCTTTTTGCTTCTTTCTGATCATTCTTTCTCTCACTTAAAGCAGCCTCCTCCCAAACCCATAAACCATTCAAATCCAACCCATCCCTGAAGAAATAGATGGGATTCAACTTCCTTGAGGAAGCCTCCCCTGACCATTTTAGTCCACAGTTATCTCCCAACACACACAAAACAGATACTGTACTTACAATCTGTACCATGAAGCATAACCGCATACACACTTATACCACTAAACAAATCTTCCATGTTTATATATTTGATTTTCCAAAGGTAGGACCCCATGTCTCACATGTCCCTTAAACCCCTTACTCTCAGTGGTCTAATAATTGTTGAACAGTGACTGAATCCGTGTGTTTTTAAAATTTTGTTTGGGCTAAAGCAGGAGGAGACAGAAGCATGTTCAAATGAAAAAGACTGAATGGACACATGGGTAAAAAATAAATTCTCAATGGATCAAAATGGGGAGAAAGTTGTAGAAGAATGGCATTCAACTAACATCTGTTTAACTGATTTGCTGCAAGGTTGGAAAGAGACATACGGAAGAGATGGCAACTGGAAAAATTTGGAAAAGGGCATTTTCAGCTTGAGGCAGAAGACAGCAGGAGAAAGATGGGGCAACCAAAGAAATTCGGCTAAAACCCAGAGACAGGTCACTGGATACGTGAAAGTAAAGAGAGTTATTGGGATGACATGGGTAGAGACGTAGTTTTGTTGGTGAGTGAGTGAATCGGTAGGGGGTGGTATGAAGTGGAGGGTGGATGGATAAAATGACAGAGGATAGTTAGGCACGCGGGTTAGCTGATTAGGCGGTGAGTGGATAGATGGGTGGCAGGTTAGTGGGTGGTTAGGTGTTTAGCTGGGAGGGAATAGGTGTGGGGCATATTATTTAAGATCCGGCCCCTCCCTCACCTTGACCCGGAAGCGGATGAGTGCTAGCCTCACGCAGTGGCTCAGGCAGGCCGGTGGCAGGAACCAGGCCCGTGGAGGAGGGGTGCCCTTGTTGCCCACGTGTCCCACGATCAGTTGCGCTGTCTGCCGCTCGGCCTGGCACCGACGGCCCCACTCGGCCAGCCGGTCCTTTCCCAGGCCCCCGGGGAACATGACCACCAGCTCCAGGCCGTCGCCGCCGGGATAGGCACAAGCCTGGCAAAGCGCTGACAAGTAGCCCAGCATGGCGTTCCATTGGCCACCACACACCCAATCCGTCTGGTAGCCACCATAAAGCCGCGGAAGCGCCGAGCCCGCGTCTACAAGCACCCGGGCCCCGGGCAGCGGAGGGGGCGGCGGCGGCGGCGGCGGGTGCAGCCCAGGGTGCGCCTGGCCGTGGTGGTGGAAGTGGTGAGCGGGGTGATGGTACCGAGTCGGCCCCGCGCCCCTGGAGTAGGTACCCAAGGCAGCGGGCGGGAGCGGCGGTTGCAGAGGCGCGGAGCCCCTGGCGGCGCGTGGAGCCCCGGGCGCTAGCGCTGCCGGAGGTGGCAGCTGGCGATGCTGGTGCTGTTGCTGCTGGCGCGAGACTGTGCGCGCGAGTTTGAGGAGGTCCACGGGCACCACGGCCCCAGGACAGCGCTTCTCCAGGAACTCTTGGAAGCCCTGGACGCCCATGCTTCGTCGGTGGGCAGACGAGACGGCGGCTGCGCGAGGTTAGGCGGCGATCTGGGCGCGAAGCTTGGGGCGGGCGCGTGCGCACTCCGCGGGGGGCGAGGGGGCGGGAAAAGGATTCCCGAGGGGAGGGGTGAGCGAGCGAGGGGATGAGGGCGGGGTGGGGAGGAGACCAACAGATTGGATTTGGATGAGGAGGTGGGGTGAGGCCGACTGGATTTAGGAGTGGCTGAGAGGATAAAAGCGATGACGGGCTCTAGTCACTTCTCTCTCTCTGTTTTTCCCCCCCCCCTCCCCTTTCCGGCCGCTCTTCACCGCTTCAAAAGGGGTGAAGCCTCTTCCTTCCACCGCCGGGAGCCATGTTGCCTCTTCTCTGTGGTACACGCTTTCTAGCCGGGGGAAGGGGAGCGGGGCGGGGCGTAGCGGAGGGGCATCCTGGGAATTGTAGTCTTCTCTACGGCTTCGGGATGCGGTCTAGGAACAAGATTGCTACTCCTTTCTGCCGTTTAGCTAACGGGATCAGAAGTGGCGGGGCGTGATGTGTGTTTAGGATTTGCACTCCCAATTCCTGACACCCGCCGAGTTGCTTCAGGCTGATTATCGCCTTTCCCAGGAAAAGGAGTTTGGGGAGAAGTGATGCATCATGGGAAGGGAAGTAGAATGGATTAATTGAATTCAGCTAAAGTATGCCAAAATTCTCCAGGAGGGAGAATTTTCCTTTGCTGGGGCTGAGGTGGGGGAATAATATGCGTAACTTTTAGTGAATGAACTGGGACACATGAAACGTAAAAGCGATAACCAACGTTTCTGTAGTAATCCACTTAACTTTTAACTACCGTAATTCTTCAGAGTTGTTGGCCCCAATTACTGAGTGGTGAAATTGACATTATTTGCCTGACGCAATGCAGAAACAAAATGAAATTGAGTATCCCTTTTCTTCAGAATCTCTTTGGTTGGGGAAATAAGCACCAATATAAATTAAACTTCAAGTCATATCTTTCCAGTACTCATTGAGCTAGTGTTGTACAGTTAGGACCTTTGTTTCTTTTTTTTCTCAGTTTATTGTCAAGTTGGTTTCCGTATAACACCCAGTGCTCATCCCAACAAGTGCCCTCCTCCATGCCCATTACCTCCCTTCCCCCCTCCCCCAGGACCTTTGTTTCTAAATCTTACTGTGAATCAATCTGTCAGGAAGCTCTTGCAAAACAACTGCAAGGGCTACAATTCCAGACGGACAGAATCGTAATCTTTTGAAAAAATCGATTTTCAGTTGATTTTGATGTAGCACCAGTTTTCTCACTGGCCTTTAGGGCCCACCCTTTTACGGGGAGGAGGACAGAAAACAAGATCTGTTTTGCAATAGTAGCCAGATCTGTCTCGGAACGTAATGAAAGATGGCAGATCATGGTAGGCGGAGTTAAAATGCAAAAGTGCAGAACCCAAGAGTAGTCAAGATGAATGAAGTCTGAGAACAGTCTATTAGGATGCAAAAGCTGTAAAAGCTTCTAGCTCCATAAAGGAATTTATAATAAAAGAATAGTGGAGCTAGAACAAGACAGATTGGTAAAGAATAAATAAATGTTGAAGCAGTGCACATAGGTAACTCTTGAAAACAAGCAGTTAAAATAGGGAACAGTAGCTTAAAGGGATGAAAGATGGAAAGAATAGAGGTTTTCTAGTACAGTGAACACCTTTTGGATTGTCTGCTTAGCTCTCCTTTTCTGGAAAATGACTCTCCTCCCGTTGACAGAGTTACAGCAAAAACTGTCACGTTCTTATAACCATAGCTCAATGCATTACAGGTGGACAAATAATTCAAGCTGGGTCGATCAGAATCTCATTTCCTAGAAAGCTGGAATTGGACCACAGAGATCAGTTTTTCTCTAAGCATAAAACATGGAAGCTGTCAGCAATTGTCCTACCAGAGGGACAGAGGTAAAAGATACTGGTCTACAGAAAGAGAATAAAAATGCAGATTCTCAGCACAGAGATGAGAGACAGTCTTCACTGTGTTTAACTTCCAGGTTCTTTATCATTGCTGAAACATTTCTGGTCCTTGGTTCCTGTGAGACAACCCCATATCCTTTATTTTTACTACTTTTACAAAGTGCATAGAAACTACCTATGACCAAAATAAAAGTTCAAGAACTGATATGAGAAATGGAATGTGGCAATTTTCAGACCCGAAAATATGAAACTGGCAGGGATAGGAGATATTCCATATCAATTAATGGGAAGTTGGCATTCTGTGTGATCTGGCAGTGAAGCAGTTTCTTACTGCTCTTGGGGCTCAAAACAGAGCAGCCCTTCTGCCTGTATCAAGAGATCTGCAATTGCTGACTGTCAGGTATTCGTGGGCTTTGCTGACTTAACATAGGTAGAACTCTGTCTCATGTCAAATGTTTTAGTGGTTAGGAAATTGGCACCTAAGTAATTGGAATAAGGTTATCTGTGGAAGCCTCCATAGATTCCTTGTTCTCCGAATCCCCCAAATGTGATGAGGCCTCCTTCTGCAAATGGATTTAGCTGGAATGAAAGGAAGAAAGGGTAGGCGTAACATTCCCAGAGCAGATCAGAAAAGAGACGCTTTACAGCCCTGAACACAGCCCATTATTTCCTCACCTAAGCTCTGAACTGAAGATGTTGAGCAGAATGCTAGGGAGAATGAGCCAAATCATTAGGTAGAGTGCTAAGAAATAGAAACTGCAACAAGTTACTCCCTTTAGTAGATCTGAAGATTTCAAAAAGCATAATTTGGCAAGATTCTTGGACTTGTTATTAGCATTCAGAGTCCCCTCAAATGAAATCCACAGGCAGTCAAATGAAGTTTTGAGGAAGTTTTATCATTAGAAAATCATATCTAGTGAATAGGGCCCAGGGTCAGAACAGTGATTTTCAAAGTTTGGTCCCTGGACCAGCGCATCAGCAGCACCTACAAACTGTTAGAAATTCTCAGGCCTCACCTCAGACCTCCAGAATCAGAAACTGTGAGTGGGACCAGCAATCCTTGTTTTAAGTAATGTCAAAGATAAAACTCTACATTAGTTAAAGGAGTGAAAACAGATTTTATTCAGTAACTACTGCAAGTAGGGGGGAAAAGCTCTCTTCCCACTTGTGCAGAGATGACTAGGTGTTTAAAGGGAGGATGAGGGAAGACAGAGAAGGAGGGGGCAAGGACTCAAGTAGAGTGAGGGAAGTGAAAAATTACAGAAAGCGGGTGAGAGTGTAAAAGGAAGTAGGCCAGCTAGGTCTGCTAGCTGGCAGTTGTTGAACTTAAGATGCTATCCTCTTACAGAGACTGGGAGGTAGAGGCCCTAGCCTTCCTGATGATTACATTTCAAAGGAATCTCAGGTCCTAAAGAAATACCTGAGTTGTAGGAGATACATATGTATCTCAAGGGGACAGGGGAAGAACTCACCAGCCTCTAAAAAAGGGAGGCCAGGGGCCTATCTTTTAAGTGTTGACTAGAGCAAACTATAAATTCTTTTGACAACCCTGAGCTTTCCAGATGGGAAATGGGTCATCTAGAGACTAGCCTTAGGCTGCTATAAGTCATACTAAAGTTTGAGCAAGTCTCTTGGAGCAGGTGTTTGAAGGGAGTGTCAAGAAAGTTTTTGCCGGTCTCACCTCCAGGTGACTCTAATGCAATCTCAGGTTTGAGAATCACTGCTCTTCTAGAGCATGTCCTAGGCGCAAGTACAGACTGGTTAAGTGAGAAGGTAAATTGACTCCCATAAATTTTCTATGCCTGTAATTTATTCCTTTATTCCTATTCAGGTGTAAGTGGTGCATACTTGGACCTGGTGGCTGATAATGGTGTGCCATTCTCCTTGCCTAAAGGGGAATTTTGATTGTGGTTAATCTGTTTCTCTATTTCTCATGTTAGACCTATTGGTAGTAGTTAACTTTATTAAAAGTTGCAGGATCAAGAGGAGCTACATTTAGCTTGTCGTTGAAGTAGACGTGGAAGGGGCAGGTCTATGCCATGCCATTGCTTCTGGATGCAGAAGTTACATGTGACTTGCAATTGTCCGTGGATTATGTTAGTTATGGGTATTTTGGGAATTGTAGATATGGGGAAATGGCATATGTGTTTATGGACCATGAAGAAGAGAAGTATAGGTAAACATCTGTTTTGTCTTCCCAGCACCCCTTTTCTACCACCTTCTCTACCTTATCCTCAGGGTTGCAGCAGGAGCCATCCTTTATGTACCTTCACAGAGAATTTGGGACTGAGCTGGAGGAGATGAAAAATCCTGGCTGCATGCAAGCATCTGATGTATTTGTTCCTAAGGCCCATCTACATTATCCCTGGGTTTTGTGAGACACCACCATCTTTATAATAAATTCCTCTTTTTGCTTAAGTTTGTTCACATCAGATTTCTATGACTTGTACACAAGAATCTTAACATACCTCATATAGGAGAAACTTTATGCTGGGTAGGCCAAAGACAGTTGAGATAACATAGGCCAAAGCCTTGAAAGCTGAAGCCCTAGATGGGGACAATAGATAATCACAGAATAGTAGTTGAAGTGCGTGCTTTGGAACCAAGATCTGGGTTCCAATACCAGTTCAACTCCTTATTAGCTATCTAAGAAGTTACTTAGCCTCTTGATCCCTTACTGTATCTGTGAAATAGGGACTCATTAATTTATTCAACAGATTTGACACCTACTACATGCCTGGAATAAAGCTAGGCCCTGGGGGAAAAGTAGTTTTCGACAGTCAAGGAGCTTAGAAGGGAAATGGTAATAATACTTACACCTCAGAAACTTGTGAAGATTAAATGATGTAAAGTGCTTAGCACAATAACTGGCACAGTAAGTACCTAATAAACATTCACTCCTATCTTGAAGGGTGGAGAGAAGCATAAAGAGGTTACATGGAGAGTTCACACTGGACTCAATCTTCTGACTTAAGTAGCAATCTTCCACTTAAGTAGCAACTAGCTGTTCAGTTTCTGAAAGGGGCCCACTTAGCTTTCTCTATTGCCCAAATCCTTGGGGCCTGTTTGAGAGGTTCATATGGTTATAGAAAATAGTTCATTAGAAGGTCTAATGAGACTGCCATATTTCTTTTCTTGAACCAACAACTGGCTAATAGCAAGTAGAGAAATCATTTGATTAGTAAAGGAAATGATGACAGTGGTTCTCAACCCTAATTACATTACTATGTGTGTAACAATACTGGTTATAGGGATAGGACACAGACACATTGTTTATTTTCAATTGTGGTAAAATACAACAGAATTGACTATTTTAACCATTTTCAAGTGTGCAGTTCAGTAGTGTAAGTACATTCACGTTGTGCTTTATGTAGTAGCGTTACATAGCTGCCCAGGTGATTTTAATATGCCATCAGGGCTGAGAACCTCTGACCTGGAACGGAGATCCCTTACAAATACTGCTTAAATTCTTGAGGCTAACATGCATGTGAGCTAGTCCTTTCCAATTCTTTATCACAAGGTCCTGCTCCTATTTGGACCATTACCTATGCTGTACATCTTCATTTCTGTCTCGAGCTTCCTTTGTAAGACCCCACCTTCTTTTCCCTAACCACTACTACTAGTTTGGCTCCTTCAAAACTCTTTAGTCACAGACAGTTCTACCATCTCATTCTTTTATCTAGTGGTGCACATTTTAAATGGGTTTTATATTGTCTTACCCCCCAACTTAAACACTTTCACCTCTGAACCTCACTCTATCACATCATCTAGCACCTTTTGGGGCAATACATAATCTCTACACCAACAGACCCCACATTGACTCACAAGTTGGGTCTAGTTTTGTCATCTGTTTCCTCTTCTCTTAAAATAGTGATATGTAACATCCCTTGAGTAGTCGTTACTATCATTTCAGCAAGCTTACTGTGTACAGGGTATAATGGTAAAATATGCTTTTTCATTTAGTCTGGAAACAACCCCACCAAGACAGCTATCCTTTTTACAGATAAGGAAATTGAAGCAGAAAAGTTAAGCAGTTTTCCCAAGTTCACAAAGATAGAATAAAAACCAAAGTCTGCTAGACTCTAAAAAGTATTTGTATTAACTGTAATAAGAATCAGGGCCCATTTCCAAACCAGCCTGGTTTCCCCAATACAAGTTTACTGTGGAAGTCACCAGAGGTATGTCACGGTGAATACAATTAACAATTTAGGGACAAGGTGGCTGCTTTTACATATCCTATTTAATATTCACAACCACCTCATTTTATAAACAAGAAAGTGGAAGTTTGAGAAGTCTGCAAATCAAAACCCATGCTTGTTCCATCATGTACCTTAGGTCCTTCCTTTAGCAATCACATAAGATAGAATGCCTTAGAGTTACTGGGTCAATAAATCAAGGTAATAGATGTTTTAAAACACTTTAAAAATCCTCATCTAATCTTGCATAGTTTTGATAAGCCTCTAACTCTTCCTCCAGGGCTATTTGCATAAACATGCACATTTCTTCTAAGCTATCAAGTGAACAAGTGATCTGATCTCATTTGGCAGTTTCCCAAGTCCCTGTAGTGTGGTAAATGAGAGATGTGGGAGAGAAATTTCAAAATTTACTTTTTTCTAAATGTGTACCATTGAAACATTGTCAGTATGAAAGGAAAACTCCTGAATAAGTTTGTGCAAAGGTCACATTTTGAATCCTTTATGAAACAAGCACTGGATATAACCTCATGAAAGATATATAAGAAAAGAGTACACACTAATACTGATAAAGATGAAAACTTATTATAAGTGTATTTGGCTTATTTTTCATGCAGTATATCTGAGAGTTGTATGGCCCGGGTTTTTTTCCCATGAGCTTGGGAGTCAGACAGACTCGGTGTGTATCCAGTCTTCACCATTTCCTAGCTATGTTACCATGGAAAATTCTTGAATCTCTCTGATCCATAAATTTTCTCTGTAAAGTGGAAACAGCAACAGACTTAGCTTATAGGATTGTTTTGTGAATTAAAAATATCACAGGTAAAAGCCTTGATAACACAATGGGAACTAAGAAAGTCATAGTGACTGTTACAATTATGGCTCATTGAGAAGAGTGGAGAAGAGGTACAGTTCAAAATTTGTTGGAGCTATAAATCAAGAGGTAATACACGGTTTGGTTAATTTGTTCAGCCAGCATAATCTATAGGATTAATTTTTAGATCTGCTAAATTACATTTGATGAATGAAGAACCAGTTTAAGGCAGGTGATTGCAGTGACTATGAAAGCATTTTAATAAGATAACATACTCATTTTATAACACAGCCTTTATTTTCTGTTTCAAAACAAAATTTCCAAGAAACAAAATACTTACAATGGCTGAGTACAAATGAAATAATCACAGTTTCAAAGAACCAAATCAGACAACTGCTTAAAGGCAGATTACTTGGTTTACCAAAACAACAACAACAAAAAAAAACAAAAACGCAAAAAAAAGTTAATTTCAAGAAGGATTAAAATTAAGTTTAACAACATACTATATAATGCTACATTCCCCAGTTAAGAAAGGAGAGTTCACATATACAACTAAATGTTAAGTGTAGAGAAGTGGCTGAAATTCTGCATACTTCATAGTAAATTATGCATGAAAGTTTATTAATTGCATAAACTTCCTGAGTGGCTCCCATGCTGCACTAGGTCTACATGCTTAATATTCATATCAAACAAATTACAGCTTTAAGTGATTGAGCATGACAGACCTTGAATAACTGCACTTTCCGATCAGTCACTATTTCTGCTGAGGGTATGTTCTGGACCACAAACCTCAATCTGAAATCTTAGCTTGTAGTGAAAAGAAATGCAACTTAAAAAAACCTGGAAGGATGACAAGCACACATTTAGGGATTCATTTTACACCAGCAATTTTTTTTCTTAAGAGCCCAGTTTCTCTCTTCCCTTCTTGCTTGACTTTTAGCCTTTTTTGAGGTGTTTTTTTTTTTTAATTAAAAGAAAACCTTCCATAATGGAAGCTGTTGGCTTGTACACTCCTCCAACTATCTCAGTTGAAAATAACTTGAGCATAACCTAGCCACTATCCCAGGGCCCTGCCTATCTTGGCTATCAAGGACCCTAACCAATGTATGTGTTCATCCTTCACATACAAAGACTATTTCCATGGTGATCTGAAGGCATCTGGCTCCATAAAAATGTCATACTAATTTCAAAGGATTTTACCAAGTTTGAGTGTTACAATTTTACCGTCTGGATTGGTTTAAAAAAAAACTGAATCCCAGAAATTACATTTATCAAATCAATGGCCTTTTCTACAACCCACCTCCTTTTCTGGTTCATCATCAAAACAAAGGGGGACCAAAAAAAAGTCTACAATAAACAAGAGAATAAAAATATGAACAACCTATTCTAAAAAAAATGGCCTGCACACCACCTCAAATCTCAAGTTTTTCTGAACCAGACAGAAGATTAAATAACTGAATCCCAAACCAATGCCAAATATACTTCAGGAATGTATACAGCCTGAAATACAGTATTTGCTAACATTACATATGCTGTAGTGTTACACAGAGTAAACATGGGAAACAAGGAACATGTGGCTTACAAACATTAGCTGAGTTTTCTGGAAAAATAAAAGGAATGCATCATTCAAAAAAGACTGCAAAGAAGAAAGTTAATGCTTCCAATAAACTTTAGAGATTAGATAAACAGTTGCCACCAACTACAATTCAACTAAAAGCATACAGCCATTTTAAGGTAATAAAATGCTACTGCAAATACCTAGCAATATGCTGAGTGACAGGCCACTGCTGTAGGATTTATCAACTATTTCACTGTGGTAGTTAAAGCAATTTCAACCCATAGCCCTTTAGGCACATGAGACAAGAAATGCATCTTTAATAAAAGATGCTAAGTTACAGGCACTGGACTGTCTAATTTAGTACTTTCTTACCATTTATTTTACAACAGACTCCTACAACTAAGTCCTACATTGCCACCAGCTGGATGTACTTCTCTGCTGTCCATCCCCAAATCCCCAAAGCTTATTCTGCAGACACACATGGTTCTTATCACTTAAACACAGATTGGTAGCAGAGTGATGGTCCCACTCATTTCAAACTCATAGTTAGCACTGGGACAAGGAGGCAGGCCAGATTTAGAACCTGAAAGAATACTGACAAGGCAAAAAAAAAAAAAGCAAGTTTCACAGGCAGTGTTTACTTGTGCACCCCCAAACAGCATGGAAAACGAGGTAGATAAACAAAAGTAACTGGACTGGAATTAAACCTGGGGTTCTTAAATGATACATCCCATCATACTGCATATAACACGCCACATTCAATCCAAAAATCACAGCGGAAAAGTGCCTTTTAAACTTTCACAGATAATTTTGCTGTCAAACCATTAGAATTCATGCTTGATATAAAACTGGCAAGAAAAGGATGAAAACCAAAATGGATATTTGTTATATTACAGCAAATTACCTTAAATAGAGATTCAAGACTGCTACAAATATACATAGGGTTATTTTCATTAGATTTACACCAATACTGGTTTCATATTCTTATGATGTTAACACCCAACTTCACAGACATAGCAGCATGTACTTCATGATGAAATGCTCACATTGCCACATATGGAGATACAGTACTATTCATCAGACTTGTACTGTGAGAAGTAAACATGGTGGTTGGACATACAGACTATCCCCCAAATAAACTTTACAAGCAGGATGGTTTAGTACAACTTTTTCTCTTCTACAAAAAGGAAAATGATAAGGACAGGTTTGTGTGGTTTTTTGGAAATAGGTAGAAGGCCCTTGTTATGTAGTAGGCTCTTTGTTAAGTAAGAAGGGAATTTCTGAGCTTCACCTCAAGTGTTAATTATTTCTGGGGAGGAAATTACCTCAGCAAGGATGAAAACAGCACTATTATATGGGTTAGCAAAATTATGAAATAATGCAAAACCCCTAGGTAAAAAACTAACCAATATTTACAGTCAAAGTGACTATTATCTGAATCAAACATTTAAGTAATGGGGGAAAAAACCCACAGTGATGTGAATAACACTGTTTTCTTCATTTTTGCACAAACTCACGTTTTTCTGTATTTTTAAACTTATACATGTTACATATACATAATGTATACATAACATATATGTTAACCCAACTACTGCAGTCAGCACGGAGACAGCAGTACGCTATTCACCATCTTCAGACTTTAGAAGACTACTTTTCTTTCCAGCAAAAAATCTGAAAAGATTCTAAATATTACAAGGCACTGCAAAAGTCTGCAGGCAAATGAATGATGAATTATACATAAAACAGAGGTGGTGGCAAAATGTGGGACATCTGATGCAGAGCAGCCATTAATAAATGTAATTGTGCATGTCATCCATGGAGGTTTTTTCATCCTGGGGTACACTGTTTAAAAGGATTACAAATGAAGAAGGGATCTTAAAACCTGCAGGATTTTCACTTTATAGGTTGTAAGTCTCAATGTGATTACACAAGCCAACTCTTATAATGAAACACGAGCAGTTTTAAAGAATTATGGATTTTAGGTGCATTGTTTTTGTACACACGGAAAACACTGTAATGCAAGCATTTGCATTACACTAATGTCCTAAAATCACTGCAACTTGCAAACCAATACTGTAGAAGAAATTTGAAGAATCTGTACATAAGATTTAGAAAGACTCACCCAAACCAGAGTACGTTTTCATTTATGAAAAGAAACTGTGGCTCTTATCAACAGCAATTCTGAAAATGCTGCGTTAGACACCCCAAATGATAGTGACAGAATCTTCATGATGGTTAGTGTGATCCTCAGGTAAGCAATATCAGACACATTTTTTGAAAAAGGGTACTGAATGTCACAAAGTAGACTATGCAAAAAATAAACAAACAAACAAAAAACCCCAAGAAACTACACCTATTAAGTTTTCCTTACCTGGCAAGCTCATGGGGTGAAAATTTTAGAGGAACTTGGAGGAAAATCTGTTAACAGAAATGTTGGGTGATAATTTGGAATGTTTACCAGTAGATGGAACTCATTATCAGGTAAATGTGTACTAGAAATGACCTTGAAAATTTCAGAGTGGAAAGTAAGTATTTTAAATGTGTATATCTGGTAGTTGATAAATACCATTTAAGAATTCTGTTTGGGTTTTGCAGACTGTGCAGTAGGAAACTCTGTGACCAGCCTTTTAAGATTATTATAGTTAACCTTCTTGAAAACCAAAAGTGTATATTTTGACATTGCCTCACTTCCTCCTAAAACTGGATAAAACCCAGTAAAGTGCAACTTGACAGTGATCTCTCTCAGATTCTAAAGAGGCTGCCAAAATAATCTAAGATCTAAAATCATCTAGGATGCTATATATACTAAGAAGAAATTATAACTAAAAAAATGGTAATAAAAAAAAGCTAAGGGCAACTTAAATAGTGTCCTTTGAGGGTCTACTATCTCACTGCAGGACAGTGTATACCCCACATCTTAGAACCCTGTAAAGCCAGTGTTTCATGTGTAAGTCTCAAAACCTACAACCTACTGTGTCAAGTACATTTTACTTCAGAAGAATGGATCAATAGAGGTGTAACTTGAATCCTCTTTGTTAGGAATACAAAGATTCCCCCAAAGTGAGATTCATATCAGCTGCAATATATCCCTTGCAAAAGAATGCAAGCCAAACCAATGCCTCTCAGATGCTCAAAAACAATGTAGTGTGCACATGAGAAACAAGGAGATAGCTACTTTGAATTACTATTGAAATTCTAAAGTAACTACAGTATCTGCAGAATCAAGGAACTGTTACAGTTCTGTTTTTTCCTTTCTCTCCGCCTCACCTAAAACAAGGCTTCACTCCTGCTGTGACGACGGGAAGAAAATCACATTAAAAAGGGCTCATGGTCTATATTGGTTGACAAAGTTATTCTAATTTTATATACCAAAACATTTCCTGCAGCAAGTTACCCTGCCTTCTGTGAAAGGTAAACCTAAGATAAATATGTGAAGAATCTCATAAGACTCTGGCTGTTGGAGGGTCTCACTTTGTCCACGTTTGGGGAATTTCAATTTAAATAGTTTTTATACACTTTAAAGTATCATCCAGCTGCAGATAGCAGCAGTAAAAAATGGGGGCTTCTCAGCAATTCATGGAAAGTGTCCTGGAAATGGTAATGCTCAAGCTGAGCTTATTAAAGCATTCTGAATGGTACTTTTAAAAAATCAAGTATCAAAGAGGATAGGATTTGAAGTGAAAAAAACACTTCTGTGTGCAGTGTTCTATGTACAAACTGCACAGTTTTATAGAACAATGAGCTATATAAAATACCACAATGAAACAAACAAACAAAAAAATACAGTGGAAAGTAAACTCAAACGAGGGAAAATATGGCAGAACCCAAGAAGAACATTTAGTATCTTACGTGTCCTGAAAATAATTCTGAAAAAAATCTCCCTTTTCTTCATCATCTACTCTGATTCATTTGGGACCAGGAGGGATGGCAGATGGATTCTGCACTGATGAAGCTGGAAATGCCTGCAAATTCATTCCCGGCTGGAATGGTCCCCCAGATTGAGTCGGAATTACTACAGACTGTTGTGGTGTTCCTGAAATTCCTACCCACTGTACTGGGTACCCTGGCCCCCCCACAGCATTATACTGACAAACATGGGGCATTCCATATGATGATAATGGCCCAGGAAATGAAGGGAGTGAGAGTCCTTGTGGCAAGGAGGTTGGGACAGCTCCACGGATTTGGGACAGAGAAGAAATCCATGTTGATGTGTAGCCCATAGTAGATGGAGTATTCTAACGAAAACAAAAATAAAAACAAAAGATCAGTTTATTTGGTAGATGCTTTAACCCATCTATATTCCTTCCTATTCATTTTGGCTTACTACTCCCATTATTACTAGAGGCGGCTACCATTTTTGGAGCACCTTTCTGTGTGCCAAGCAGAGTTGCATACTTCATTTTCTCTTCATTACTGCCCTGCAAGGTAGGCATTTTCAGATATGGAAATCAAAGCTCAAAATTGGTAACCCCCAATATCACTAAACAGCTTAATAGTGAGGTGAGGATTGGCTAGAACTCCAGTAAATAGAGTTAGGACTCTCTGTTCACAATTTAGTGTCTTTATGCTAGCACTACTCTTTATAATTTTACTTCTTTTGGCCAGCCCCATAAATTCTCTCATGTAGCACCACAGACCATAACCCAGGTTACTATATAATTCTTTGGAGACCGAGGAGCATGATTAAGTGTGGCCCAGGGGAAAGAGCCTGGCACACACAGTAGGTGCTCAGTAAATGTAACCCTCCTACTCACTCCTACTCATTGCCTTAAAGTCTAACATTTCTTTGCAGTTTTGGAAGTTTGTGGCAGTATTCTGAAAATATATTCCTGTCTGACTCTTATCATGTCCTACTGTGGTTATGCATATGTATAAATTACTGAAAACTTATGCACATGGTAATAATAAATCTAATGGAAGTAAATAATTCTCACTTAAAGGAGAATTTGGTATCAGTCCCTAATGCTTAGTTTTTCTAAATCGAATAGCCAAGCTAAACCCTTTCAAATAAACTTTCAAACTAAAGTTAGAATAAAGACTTTGCCTGACTCAAGAATGAATCTCCTGAAGTGGAAAGACACATTTATTCAGTAATGTCTTCTTCATATCAGTGTTTTTGTTCTGTTAGAGTAAAATTAAATGTAATACTTCTGAGTCAAAAGAGCACATAAATTACTCCTGAAATCATTATTATAATATGTGTTAACTTGGATTTAAATAATATATATGTATATATAACTAAAACACAAAAGAGCACACACATATATTATGACTTCATTTTTATAAAGTCATTTCCATGTATCCATATACAGACATAAAAAAGATATCTGAGCCCTGCGTCGGGCTCTGTGCTGACTGCCAGCTCAGAGCCTGCGGCCTGAGAAATAAATAAAACATTAAAAAAAATTTAAAAAAAAGATATCTGAAATGGTGTTTATCTAAAGCTAGTGACAATTATTTCTAGGTAGTGGGATTTGAAGGTGGTATTTTATTTTATTTAAAAAAAAATTTTAATGCTTTATTTCTGAGAGAGAAAGAAATAGAGAGAGAGAGAGAGACAGCATGAGCAGGGGAGGGTCAGAGAGAGAGGGAGACACAGAATCCGAGACAGGCTCCAGGCTCCAAGCTGGCAGTCAGAACAGAGCCCAATACAGGGCTCGAACCCACGAACCGTGAGATCATGACCTGAGCTGAAGTTAGAGGCTTAACTGACTGAGCCACCCAGACGCCCCTGAAGGTGGTATTTTAAAATTTGTACTTTTCTGCATTGATTAAATTCTATAATGAACATTATTTTACAAACAGTAATGTGATTATTAGTTTTAAAAGACCAGTGGAGATGATTTAATCTTCTCTTGCATATTTCAAAGGTGTCTGAGCTTCAAATGACCTATGGTCTTTCCTCTACAAAAACACACTGCCTACTCATGTTCTGTATCTTGGTGACTGGTATGCTGTAATGATAGCCAGTAATGCCAGCCAGAAACCTAGTCTTGACACCTTCCTTCTGCCATACATCTATCCCATCATTAAATCTTGTCAATTTTATCTCTTAAACATTTCTTGGAATCTGTTCCCTTTTCTTCATCTCAATTTCTCTTTAACTATACTACTGTGACTAACTCTTAGTTGGTCTATCAATTTCTACCCTTACCTCCAATAATCCTTTCTTCTTGCTTCAAGTCAGAGTGATCTTTTCAAAAAGCAAATCTGATGTCAACCCTAGGGCTTCAGGCTATCCATCTTTCTTAAAAACAAAGTTCCTTATCATCACCATTTTTAAGACCCTCTCAACCTCCTTAGATTCACTGTGAACCAACTCCTCTCTGCTCTCTTCACTTCAGCAAAACTGGCCTACTCTGAGTGCCCTCATGACCCTTTCCCCATACAGGGCTTCTGCATATGCTGTTCTTTCCACTAGGAATCAGATTCCCTCCCTTTTTTCACCCAGTTAACACCCACTCATCCTTTAGATCTCTGTTCAATCATCACCATCTCAGGGAAGCTTTCCTAGACTTCTCTTTACTAGATCAATTCTCTTATTATATGATATCCTATATTATATATGTCTGTTCATGTCTAATTGAGATAGGGTACATACTTGTTTTTGCTCATCAAACCCAGTGCCTAGCAGGTGGCTTGGCACAAAGTAAAGGGCCTGACATAATTGTGACATTTTCTACTAAGGCCACAGACCAGTAACAAGCAAGGACATTAGATAATGAGATGGGCTTTCCACACAAAATGTAATCAACTGAACTTAAAATACAAAAATAGTTACCACTACATGCCAGACACCTTTTGGTGTTATCTCATTTAATCCTCACAGTGATCTTTTAAGGCAGGTAGGAATTATCTCTGTTTTGAAGACATGAAAACTGAGGCACAGATGACTTGCCTACAGTCACACAACTAGTAAGTGACTGAGCTGACATTGGAACCCAATTCTGCTTAAAGACCTCTACCACTTTTGTTCATACTTCCATTTTCTACTCACTCTCCAAAAATCCTCCATTATACTGCAATAAACCACCCTCCTACTAGTCAACAAAAGCCTCCATTCACACAGTAGATCTCAGAAGATCTCTCACTGGCAGCACAAATGCATTTATGCCTTGAAATTTGCCTCTAAAGGCTTCCAATTTTTACAATGGTGATACTATCTGTATATAAATTCGTGACAGGAGTAAGATAAATACAGAGTCCCCAAGCAGAAATACTGCTTACTAGTTTGGGAAATCTAGGCTTTTGAAATTTTATTCAACATTAACATTAAATGTATTTTCAGACTTTCTTTACCAAATTATATGCAATGACTACAAACACAAACATACATGTACACACACACACATAGACACACATATACCTCTTGCAATTATGAGGGTTCAGATTCTAAGCCTTGATTCACATTTTAATAGATTTACTCATTTTGAAAAAGTGATACTTTAAAAGTTCAAACAGAGAAGTGCAAAGTAAAATAAGGCCCAAATTCCACCATCCAGTATATAGTTAATGGCTTCTAGTTCTGTGTGTATATATAAATATCTAATATACATAATTTTAAACAAATGCTGTATATAGCCTGCCTTCTTCTATAAGCCTGCCTTCTTCCCACTCCAGAATGCATTGTGGACATCTTTCTATAGCTCAACTGCAGGAACATCTGACTAAGGCCATATGCAATTAACTAAACTTAAGATGCCTTTTATAATATTCTAGCTTAAAAAGATTTAAAATTATTTTTCAAACTGAACAAATACAATCACTTAATGGTTCTAAGAATATTGATATACAACATATGATAGCTTTTCCTCAAAACTCAAACTCTTCTTGCACCACAGGACTGAATTAACCCTCACTCCAGATGCTTTCTTTTTTGATACTTTATGGTTATAGTTTCAGGTATAAGAGCCTAAAGCGAGGGTCAGCAAGCTACAGCCTGCCACTTCTTTTGTGAATCAAGTTTTAATGGAACAAAAGCCCTGTGCATTCATTTATATTTTGTCTATGGCTGCTTTTGCCCTATGACAGAGTTGAATAGTTGCAACCACACAGGTTGAGAGTACTTACTAACTGGCCCCTTCCCAGAATAAAAAATGTGCTGACCCTTGGTCTAAAAGACAATTTGCTCAAAGACAAAACGAATCTAGATAAAAGTCTCTATGTTGTCCAGTCACACCATTCTCTAATAGTGACTTTCACCATAGACCTAAGGAAATAAGTTTCTATGGTTTTAGTTCTTAGAAATAAAGAGAATGTGCAAAAACAACTTACTTCACATACTTTGTTCCAGTTTTCTGTCTCTAGTTTGTGTTGACTCTGTTTGAGTTGGTTTAAACTTGGCTTAATAAGAGAATTTCCGACGGTTTCCTTTGTCCAGTCATCCACCAGCTTATGTAAATCATCTGTGAACATCCCTTTTTTACTAGCTGGAGATTGCTGGCATGATGCTACATTACTCTCCATGCATAGCGGATCTAGAAGAAATAACAGGAAGACCATAAAAAGGAATTAAAACTGATACTGTTCTTTGAGTAATAATGCAGTTGACAGAACCTCACATATGGGCTACAGATAGGGTAACCAGACATTCCAGTTTATCTGGACAGTCCTGGAGTAATTATTAACAGTATGCCTTTCACTCTCAGAAGTTTTCTCTTGTTGGATGGCAAATTATATGGTCACCTTGTTATAAAGTCAAATAAGGTACAAATTATAAGTCAAATATAAAAACATTAGTATCAGTTTTAATCTTTACATTAGTTTCCTCAGATAAATACTTAACAGAGTTAAAAAATAAACAGAATGTTAAAAGTGAAAATGACCTTAGAAGGCGCAAACCACTTGTTTTATAATGGACAAATGAGGCCCAGAAAAAACACAATGACATGCCTGAGTTCTTGCAATTAGTTACCAGCTGAATCAGGCCTGGAACGCTTTAAGCATAGACAAGGATACTCTCTCTTTTCATTATATCATACTGACTTTCAGCAAGCATCAGAAAACTAGAATCTCATTTAATTTTTTTAACCAATATTTTTGTCTGTTAATGATAAACAAATGGCAGAAACAAGAACGCAGATGGTGTGTGAGCCTCATTAGTTCTAGAGCATAAGATGTCCAAATATAGGAAACAAATCAATTACAGATATCTCTATTTCCCAATCTGAACATCACACTGTCTTTAAATTGTTTAGTACTATTATACACATTTACTAAATCATTGTCATAGGAAAAATTCATAAAGTTCCAATTCCTCTGACTTACAAGCCAAAACTTACAGAGTGGGTTTAAAATAAATTTTAGGAAATACGAGTGTGAGATTTAGGCAAAATAACATGTTCAGAGGTATTATTAAACAAGCATATGAAAATTTCTTGTACATTTGTTACGGTACTTTAATTGCGAAAAAAAATGGAAATGGCAGAAGGTAATGTAAGAAGCCTCCAAATTAACACTTTCAAAGTCATTTTCTTTATCATTTTTGAAACTTATAACAAGTTTATGATATAGGCTCAGAATATATCATTCTATTTTTTGGATGAGAAGAGTGGGATCCAGAAGCTGAGGTTATATGTTGGGGCTAGAAATCAGTTATCCCGACACAGTAGTGTGCCTTCCATTATACCATGCCAACCCATAGAATACACTGAGAAATTAATGGGGAAATTGCTTAGTAAGGAGGACCATGATAATGTCAATGATTGCTTATATGTAATTTGTGATTCTCTATGAACTGCGCACTACTGAAAGCTTAGATTCAAGGAGATTAAATATTAAATGAAAACATATTAATGAAAACTGCTTAAGAAGAGTTTAATGAATTAATTGGACCATATTCACATATACAAAAGAGTTTTATAAAAATCATATATACTAAATTTGGGGCAATCATGAGGTACCAAAATGCCACACCAATTTGCTGGAATTGCCTCCTTTTCTAAGACTTAAAACTCAAAGACAACAATTCAGCCTATAATAACAATATTTTTTCCTGTTTTCCCTCTGCAAATTCATCTGATTTTCTGTCAATTCCAGTGATGGAATAAATAGCACAACAATATTGGGGAAGACTTTGAAGCTGAGTCTTTTTTAGATTGTCTTCTTGCCCTGGAAAAATGTCAGTGGATAGGAGCAAAATGGAGAAGATAGTCAGAAACATATACATATTAGTGCCAGGATTTTTGCCCACCCAGCTTCTCTTACGGAGTATTTCTGTACTCATTCCCTTCAGTTTCTAAAAAAAAAAAATAAAAAAAAAATGTTGCATAGAGCAAAGTTTGAATGTCATTCATTTAAGAACATTTCTGTACTAAGGGAAAGCCCAATGTCAGGATTTTTGTGTACATCTCTGATCTTGAACACTCAATTAGTGGTAATGATGGCTGCTGCACTAGTGGCACAACAGACAACAAGTGAAGAAATGATTAACAAACCAAATAGGTATTTATTTTTTAAAAAATGTTTATTCATTTTTGAGAGAGAAAGAGAGAGAGAGAATGCGAGTGGGGAAGGGGCAGAGAGAGAGAGGGAGACACAGAATCTGAAGCAGGCTCCAGGCTCTGAGCTGTCAGCTCAGAGCCCTTCACAGGACTTGAATCCGTGAACTGTGAGATCGTGACCTGAACCAAAGTCAGCCGCTTAACCAACTGGGCCACTCAGGAGCCCCCCTAAACAGGTATTTAAATGAAGTAGGAACTGAGGGTAAGGCTCATAAATAGGCAACATAAAGATATGCACACACATACAATCCAAAAATTATCAAGAAGAAAAAAATGTTATTTGAATGTTATCCAGTGCCTAACCATGCTTTATACACGAAAGGACAATTATTTATTGATTTCATTTCAGAGTTATACATATCATACTATAAAAGACCACTTTAGGGCGCCTGAGTGGCTCAGTTGGTTAAGTGTCCAACTTTGGCTCAGGTCATGATCTCACAGTTTGCGGGTTCCAGCCCGGCATCAGGTTCTGTGCTGATATCTCAGAGCCTGGAGCCTACTTCTGATTCTGTGTCTCCCTCTCTGTCTGCCCCTCCCCTGCTCAAACTCTTTCTCTCAAAAATAAATAAACATTAAAAAAGATTTTTAAAAGAGACCACTTTAATTAATTTTTTAATGTTTATTTATTTTTGAGAGAGAGAGAGACTGACTGTGAATGTGTGTGTGAGCAGGGGAAGGGAAGAGAGAATGGGAGACAGAATCTGAAAAAAGCTCCAAGCTCTCAGCTACTAGCACAGAGCCCCATGCAGGGCTCAAACTCACTAACCAAGAGATCAGACCTGAGCCAAAGTCGGACGCTTAACCAACTGAGGCACCCAAGTGCCCCTAAAAACCACTTAATTTATGGGGCGCTTGGGTAGTTCAGTCGGTTGGGTGTCCAACTTCAGCTCAGGTCATGATCTCACGGTTCGTGGGTTTGAGTTCTGCATTGGGCTCTGTGCTGACAACTAGCTCAGAGCCTGGAACCTGCTTCAGATTCTGTGTCTCCCTCTCTCTCTCTCAGAAATAAATAAAACATTAAAAATTAAAAAAAAAACAATTTAAATTTCACAAACTAGAAAATAGCTACAAGAAAAGAAGTTCTGTACAAATAAATGTTTTAGCACTTCTAAAAAATGTTAACATTACTTATTAACATTACTTAATAACTTCAAAGGTGTTCTTTAATATTCATTTCTTACTGATGAAATGAATTAAAAAAAAAAAAAACAGAGTATGGTCCTTTTTTAAAAAAATTTTCCCAAGGTGATGCTTTCATTCAGATAGTTTTAGTGATCACCTAACTGTAAATGTTTCCATCTCTTATCTCAAACCTTGACCCCTCTTCAATCCAATTTCAAAACTGCCTTCCAAATGTGCTTTTCCAAATGGATGTCAAGTTGCTCAATTCAATACACCTAGAATAAAAGCTATCATGGCCTTGGCATAACAGTTCACCAGAATTTTTGTAAAAGATATCACATTTTCTCTGAACCACTCAGATTCAGAACCTTTGGATCTCTCCCAGAACATACATATATCCAGTTTATCACATCATGGTAATTCATCCTATACAACATCTTTTATCTATTTTCATTTCCACAGTTCTCTAAGCTCTTAATCATCTCATACATGGAATGCTATGATTACAATGATCTAAATGGACTCGTCCCTAGCTCTACCCAATACATTCTTCACATTGCCACCAGATTATATCAGTTAAATGCTGTTTTCAGCATTTCAATCCTCTGCTCTAAAAACCAACATCCTCCTACTTTAATGGCTTCTTAATACTAACAACCGTGGGTATTTAACTTGTTTAGGTGGCAAAGTCCTTGGTAGTAGTCATGGTTGTCTTATGCAGAACAAATATATTATCTTTTCATTATCCTTAAACACCATCTCATTTATTAAGCTTGAATATATAATTATGTGTTAGGTCAGATATATGTTACCAGAGTGTAGCACAGACAAGCTATGGCAGTTGCCAAGAGTTCTTCTTTTTTAAGGTATGTAAGAAAAATCTAATGTAAACCCTCCATTTCACCCAACTGTTATATTCTCTTTTTTGCAAATAAATCTTGCATTTTGTCATTTGCATATCTGTATGTCATGCAATTCTACCTATTGACAATTCTCTTCCCATTGTGCTTCACCAATTTTAATCTTGTCCATTTATCCTTCAAGACCAACTCAAATACTACATCCCACATGTAGCAGTCTCAGACCACTATCACCCTCTATGATCTTCCATTGCCTCTTCTCAATCCACTGTGCACATGCTTTATAGTATTGGGAGGCAATGCAGAATAACAGTGAAGAACCAAGGTTTGGGGTCAAACAGATTTGGATTCCCTCTGTTATGAACTGAGGTCTTAGGGAAGCTGTTTAACCTCACTAACTTTCCTTCCTCCCTATAAGAGACAGACATTAATTTCTACCTACTTTACAGTTGTTTCAAGGATTAAGATTATGTAATGCAATTATGTTTCAGGGTTCCCAAGACCACTCACAGATTCCGTGATTCAACTGAAGGTCTCACAGGACTCAGCATATAGCTGTATTCAAAGCTAAGTTTATTACAGTGAAAAGGTGCATGACAGGATCAGCAAAAGAAAAGATACAGGAATCTAGGGAAATTAATGCACAGACTTCCTTATTCTCTCTTCCTGTTATAAGGGGTCATACTTGAGCATAATTTTTCTCTCAGCAATGAAAAATAGAGCATGCCAAAGATATGAGAACTGAAATAACAGACAACTGCCAAAGACTGAGACTGACCACTGTGAGAGCCACATGTGTGCCACAGAGGCAATGCAACTGAACTGACATTGGAACAAGAGACCACAGAAGATAGACTAGAACTCAAGGAAAAAATAACTAGGTCAATCACTTTCTATAAAATAATCTACATTTTAGATAGGATTTAAAAGACACCAGAGTCTCAAAACAGAATACTCAAAATGTCCAAAATAAAATCCATTATGACTTGG